GCACACCTAAAGGCAGCCTGGGGCTAGGTGTCATCTGAAAGCGTTTCCTCTTCTTTGCAACTACGTAAGTTTACTTTTGTGTTCTTTGCTTAAATCACAATTTTTATTTATTTATTTTTTTTTGCATTTTAATTCTCCTTTGGGCGGTATCCTAAAGTTGGTCCCAGTGCTCGTTGACATTTCTCTAGGGAAAGGTGTGTTTGAAATGTGATTTTCAGTGTCTCAGCAAAAGTTTTGTGGCAAATAAAGTTAGAAGCTGCAGAAATGATTCCAGGCCCTTAATGACTGCCCCAAGCACAGCATACGTGTCCTTGGCAGAAGGAGCGTATACTTAAAGTATTTTGAGAATGTGTTTGTGTGCCGCTTCCTGGGTTTTTAACAGAAGTTCTGTGATTGGGTTTGGTGACTGCATTATTTACTCCCTTATTTAATATGTTCCACAGGGTTTAAATTGGGCATTTCAAATCCGTATCTGGGCTTGGCGTATGATAGGCAAGAAACATAAACTCCATAAATGACCAGAGTTCTTGTATTTTGTGTGCACATCTGTGAACTAACTGTAAGAGGGGAAAGGAGGCCTGGGCCCAACACGAGACCAGGGTAAGAAGGTGTGAAGATTAGCAGAGCAGAAATTGAGGTTGTGGAGTAGGGAATCGGGGTGTGCTTTGGGTTTTTCTGTTTGTTGTTAACCCCAAGAGTAGACTTCACTCCAGTGCTCTGTCTTTTTCGCTAATCCTTTACAGTTTCTTTTCCATGTGTTAGGTCACCCACCATACATGGAATAGTAGCTTTGCCTGGATGAAGCAACCCTTCTCCAGGTACTCTAGTCTTTTAGGTTGAATTCAGTAGGAGGGCGAGATGGGAAGGATTTTGAGGTCCTCTCTGAGTGTACTTCTATAGTTTGTACTCCTTGGTGTTTGAGAGCAGTATTGTATGAGGGTCTTTCAGATCTAGATATGATTTATTTGATGGAGTACTGTGCTTTTGCTCTTCCAGCAGGAATTGGAAGCTATGTCGTATGTCGCACTGCTTGAATTTTTACGATTGTGTTTCAGTAAACTCTCAGGACCATAATGCCTTTGACTTCCTTTGATATAAATAAATAGATACATATAGTTGCACAACCCATATATTGTCTCAAATTATTTTTAATTGGCACATTACTTTTATATATACAAAAGATTTACCCTTAACACAATTTATAACAATAAAAAGGTTTCCTGAATAATTGCAATGGGATAGTAAAATCTGAATCATGTGGTATCTTGAAATTGTTGGCACAAATTTAATACAGTACTAAGACTATAGCTTAGAAATCAGTCAAAGGGCTCTGGAAATTTTATTTGGAACAATGACAGATCATTATTGTATGTGAAATAGATCAGGGAAGTGTTCAAACCTTTCCATTTTCTTTCAGTTCAGTGTTTGAAACATAAGTACAGAAAGTACTCCAGTTAATTTTTCAATTGTTCCACAGCTAAAAGTGTAATATTTGTAAATGTGATGCATAGTGGAAAACAATATTATTGAGATGTTAGCTTTAGTAATAGAAAGTCAGTGCTATTTTTATCATCTGTTTCGTTTCCACGTTTTCTTGAAACTTAGGTAAAACTTATTGGTCAGATATGACTTATGCTGGGGCTAACCAGAATAGGCAAGTCATTTTCTTTAGGTTTTGAAAATGTAAATGCTATATTGCTTGTAAAGAATGAATCACAAGCAGTCTATCATTTGCTTGCCAGTTTTTTTTCATCTTACTACATCTAGTATTGCTAATGATGGTGCCATGTGACTTACCACTTTGCCCATGTTATTATACTTCTCTAGTAATTTATCCTTTAGTTGTATTTATGTCAGTACTAATTTATATAGAAATTAGTTTCACTGTCATAAATAATATAGGAATTTTAGGGTCACTTTTCTTGTTTTTGCACAGTGGGGGCAAAAGTAGGTTTACAGTTGTTTATATGGAAAATAATACAATAATTAATAAATAATAATACAAAATAGACTGTGTTTTGCGTACTCACAACTATAAACCTACTTTTGCTGCACTCTATTCTGTTACAAGTTATAGTGATACAATTCTCTAATTTTTCAATGTTTATTACAGGTTTAAGACTAGGTTATAAAATATGCTAGACTACAAATAAGATGCACATTTATAGCTTGGCTCTATTTTGAAACTTTTGTGATAGCTTTAAAATTTTATTTTTCTAGTTACTGCCCATCAGCACATTTCTAACAAGTTTGTTCTTGAAGTAGTTGGATATTATTTACAGTTTTCAAATAATTTATCATCAATGAAGACCATTGGTGGAATATAGTTGGTTTTCTTATGCCAGTGAACCTCCACATTGAAGCGCCTGAGCCAATTTTTTATGTGTTATGTAGGTGTGGAATTTGAAGTTTTTTTCTAAACGTGGTGAAGGTATCTCACAAGATGTAATTTGACTTAAAGGTTTTACATGGTTGCTCTGGCTCCTATACCAAGAACAGAGTGAGGGAGAGGGGCAGGATGGAAGCAGAAACCACTTAGGAGACTTGCAATAATCCAGTCAAGAGATTTTGGTGGTAATAGATTGTTCTTTTTTAAAGCTGCATAGTATTCCAATGTATAAATGGACAACAACTTTTTTATTAACTCATCTGCTGTTGGGCACTTGGGCTGTTTCTGGATTTTAGCTATTGTAAATTGTGCTGCTATGAACATAGGGGTGCATGTATTCTTTTTAGTTGGTGTTTTGGGATTCTTAGGATATATTCCTAGAAGTGGGATCACTGTCATCACAAATGGCAGTTCCATTTTTAATTTTTTGAGGAAACTCCACACTGTTTTCCATAGTGGCTGCACTAGTACCCTTTGAAACTACATGGAGGGACCTGGAGATTATTATGCTCAGTGAAATAAGCCAGTCAGAGAAAGACAAATACCACACAATCTCACTTATGTGTGGAATCTGATGAATAAAAATAGAACCAAAGGCATGAAAACATGGAACAGACTGATGAATCTCAGAGGAAAGGAGAGGGGTTGAGAAGAAATTAACCGAAGAACTTATATGCATATATGCTTTGCCCATGGACACAGAAAATAGGGTGGTGAAGGCCTGGGGGGGGGGACTGTGTGGAGGAGGGCAATGGGGTAAAAAGGGGATATTCTCAACAGTAAAGATAAAAAGAAAAAAAGAGAATACAGAAAAAAAAGAGATATTGGTGGCTTGGACCAGAGTGATAACAGTTAACGTAGTATGAAAGGCTCAGATATATTTTGAAGATAGAGGCAGCATTATTTACTGGTGGATCATGTATAAATTGTGACAGAAAAGAGAGGTCAGCAGTCATCACAGCTTTTGGTTAGAACAACTGAAAGAATAGAGTTGTCAGTCACTGAAGTGGGAAAGACTGCGGGAAGAGCAAGCTTTCTGTTATGGGAGAAAGGGTAAGATCCTGAGCTCTGCTTTAGAAGTGTTCCGTTAGGGCTTTGGCCTAATTTTTTATTGGATTGTTTATTCTCTTATTGTTGAGTTTCAAGAGTTTGTATATATTTTGTTTAACAGTCCTTTATCAGATGTGTCTTTTGCAAAGTTTTGTCCCACTCTGTGACTTGTCTTCTAATGTTCTTGACATTGTCTTTTACAGAGCAGAAATTTTTATTTTAATGAAGTCCTCAGGTGAGGGTTAAAAAATATATATATTTATGAACAATAAAATGGTAATAAATGCCTGTCTATCAAAAATTGAATCTAAAAAACAAATGAACGAGCAGAACAGAAACAGACTCATAAGATACGGAGAACATTTTTAAAAAATATATGTCTTTTTTGATTTCAGAGAGAGGAAGAGAGAGGGAGAGGGAGAGAAACATCAATGATGAGAGAGTCATCTTTGATTGGCCCCTGCTGGGGACCAAGCCCACAACTGATACAGAGAACATTTTGAGGGTTGCCAGATGTTAGCAGCAGGTTTAATCAGATTGAGGAAGTTCTCTCTCTAAAATTCTTAGTTTGTTACTTATTTTTATTATAAAAGGGGTTGGATTTTTGTCAAATGCTTTTTCTACATCTGTTGAGATGAACATGCGGGGATTTGTTGTTCTTTATTAATGTGATGGTTGACATTAATATGTTGAACCAAGTTTTTATTCCCACTTCTGTTCCCTTTTACTACTCCCTTAGTAGTATGTCCTGACGTTGAATGCTACCCCAGGCTGTACAGGAGTCATTGTAGACAGTCTCCTTTCCCTTTCTCCCTGTAGCCAACCAGTTGATTGTGTTTAAAATCTTCCCAGCATTTCTCTCTTTCAGTACATTCTCCACCCTGATGCCAGGAATGATTTTTTTTTTCCTCCTAAAAGTGAACCTGATCATCTAAATCTACTTCTGGAAAAATTTATCAAGAAGAAATTTATATTCATTCCCTGCCTGTTGCTGATGTATATAAACCAGTACCAACTGTTAGGTCTTTGTCTTGTTTTTAAAGACTTGTAGATTATTTTATATGAATTTGAGTGACTTTTCTGTTTCATAAAATGTGATTTGTACTCTAATATTAATGTTATTGTAGGAGTGCTACTAAATACTATTTTTGGACACTAAAATTTGGTCTAACTTTATCAAATAAAGGAATAAAATGGGAAAGAGGGCTTAAAATCACATCAGTACCAAATGAGAGAATGGAATGTGGTAGGGTTGCTCCTGATTTGTTGCTGTGGTTCAGTTGATTCTTGTGAGCATTCTGTTCTGGAGAAGTTTACATACACTGTATCATATCACAGGGATTACAAAGTCTGTCCTTAACTGTTTATCACATATACTATTGAAGTAGTGACTCTTAGCCTGGATTTTTATAGAAGTTATTTTATTTTAAATCCAAATTATTTTAAATGAATAAATAAAGTCTAATTTTCATATTGATATATGTTATATATATCAAATAACTGGTAAAATCACTATAAGCATTTTTAAGAGTATTTGTTTGTTTTGCAGCCTTGCATTGCATCCTGAACGAGTATTGGTAGCAACAGGACAAGTTGGGAAAGAGCCTTATATCTGTGTTTGGGATTCATACACTGTACAGACCATATCAGTTTTGAAGGATGGTCATACACATGGTATAGCTTGCTTAGCATTCGACTTAGATGGACAGGTATGTGATAATTTTTTTAAAACTATGTTTTAAAAATGTGTACTATAAGAAATTATTATAAATCTATAAATATTAAATCAGAAAGCGGTGATGAAAAGTATTTGTTCAGGGGTGGAGGTGGGTAGGTGGGATGAGTGGTTGGTGTATATGAGAAAAATAAGAACAGTAAGGAGGTTTTATAATTTTATCAAGAACTTCTCAGTTGAATTAATAACAACCATGAAAGCCAAAGAGATTCTGATTCAGTGGAATATTACCTGGTTGTTCCAGGTAATATATTCATAAGACAGATAAAAGACATCTTAGGAAAATTAAGTTTCTCTAAGTAGCTTTGTATACATTTTAACTTTTAGTTATTTTTAAGGTTTTCTATTAAAATTAAATTTTTATTGAAAATAATGAGTCGGTTCCTATATAAACTGTTTTTAGACAAAATCAAAGTTCAAAACAAAGGATATAATGATCATTTCATTTACTAATCAGTTCCCAAATTATTATTTACTTCTAGTCAATGATTTTTTAAAAAGTTAAGGCAACGGCTTTCTCATGGTGTTTTCATGGACCTTATTATACCTAAAATACATTTAAGAAATGGTAAGAAGTTGGATTTTGCAGGTGTGCTTAATATATAGTCTTTAAAAGTTTTATGTTAAAATTAGATTTTAAAAATTATTTTAACTTTTAGAAAAAATTTTAGTTACTTGCTTTCAATTCATAAAATTAATTTCATAGATCTAGATTTAACAGGGACAGATTACATTGGGTTCTCTTCCTTGAAAATGACAGCCAGTAGATGTTTTATTTATAATTGAGGAATAGCTCCTTTGAATAGCATAGATACATATAACTTTCTGTTAAGAATCTGGTATGGGATCTCGAAAGACTTAACTGGAATCCCTCATTTGGGGAAAAATATGCTCTGTGTTTAATATCATGGTGTAGCAGTGGTTGTCAATTACAGAACCTTAATTTGTGTACCATTTTTGCTATTATTTTTCAAGTCCTTTAATGTCCTCGTATCAGAATTTTATTTTTTAAAAGGAAGAGAATACTACTTTTTATTTACTTTACAGGAGATGATACTTTATGAAATAAACTTACAAAGTTTTTAAAAATCATTTACTAAAGTTCGTATGAAATTCAAGATGTCTTAACTATGTGTATACTTTAAATATAGATGTTTTTCTCTTAATTTTAAAATTGCCTTTTTAAAATGCAATACATTGCATTGCTGAGAAATTTCTCTTATATGTATAAGGAGAAGTTATGCCCGTAGCTTTTCTTAGTTGAGAACCTTTAATTTCATTTATTTTAAGCAACTTACAAGTCTTCAGTACATGCATTTTATTATAACAGATCTTCATGAGAACATGTTACTTAAAATTTAAACTTGTAAGAAACATAATAGCTAAAAGTCGTTGAGCATAAACCAAGTGTAAGGCATTATGCTAAGCCTACATTATCTGATTTAATCCTCACAGCCCTATGAAATAGATGCTGTTATTATCTCTATTTTACAGATAAAGAAACTGAGACTTAGAGAGGTTAAATAACTTTCCCCAGGTTACACAGCTAGTAAATGGAACCAGAGTGGGAACCGAGGTCAGTCACACTCCAAAGCTCATGTTTACAACCACGATGCTTGACTGCCTCCCAAACATGGAATTTAGGAGGTGGTTATTTATATTTCAAAAGGAACTTACCCATCTTAAGTACAGTTAAAGCTTGTGAGGAACTGCTTCCAATTAAAGATTAAATTAAAAAAATGTCTCTGAAATTATGTTAATGAAAAAGGCTTTAGTTAAAAATATATTTTAGTACATATATATCCAATAATATCTATAAACTATTTATGAAATACCGACTAGGAAATACTGTATAATTTTTGCATTTTCTACTATAATTGAAACTATAAATGACCAATTAAGATTTATCCAATGAATGAGTTTCCCTGTTGGTAGTAATGCTGGATGTTCTTTTCCCAGAGAGGTTCTTCTGAATGGATTGAATATCCATGCTAACTCTGGAAGTCTCCCTTATTGAGAATAATTAGGGCCTAAAAAGGCTATTTATATAAATCCACATCAAACAGGGACTAAAATTTTATAGTAAATGGGGGAGGAGGGAGAGGAAGGGAAATTTGGTGCTTTATCTTGAAGCACCAAATTATAACCATAATTTAAAATAATAAGCACATCTCTCATATTAAACAAAATCTAAGTTATAGTTACAACTCTGCTAATATATAGAATGAGCCAAGAATAAAATATTAATGCTTTTAACCTAATTTGTCAGTTATTTGCTGGTACAAAATAAAATGCTTTAGCTTACCTTTGACTTTTGGCATATGACTATGAAGATGATCATTTTTACAAAAATATTAGAGGAGTTCACTAGTTTTTTTCAAGGGCTTTCCGGTAACCTCTTGATATCTTAAACATATCTCAAGTGCCTACTGCATTATTTTTTAATTTTCTTCTATTACTCTTCCAAATCCTAACTTCTAATGGCTTTCTGTATGATTTGACCAATATTTACTTCATTGAGTCCTGCATCTTTTGCAAAATTAGTGATTTTTTACTTTGTGTAACATTGTAACAATTAGTTCTTATATAATGAATGCTGAGATCACAAGGATCCCCATACTATAATCTTTTACATTTAATTGTCTATTATTTGAATGTTTCACAATTGCAGGAGCACATGGGATGCATCAAGTTGTGGCTATTGGAATATTTTTCTCATTAGATTTTTTTAATATACTAGAACTTTTTACTAAATACTTCCAATTCAATTAATAGACACAACCAAGATTTTGTTTGGGAATAGGATCAGGGAGGAATAGAGGCTTTTTTATCTGGTTTTCTTTTCCCCTCTCTGACTGTTACGTCTTAATTGAATTGGAAGTATTTAGTAAAAAGTTCTAGTATATTAAAAAAATCTAATGAGAAAAATATTCCAATAGCCACAACTTGATGCATCCCATGTGCTCCTGCAATTGTGAAACATTCAAATAATAGACAATTAAATGTAAAAGATTATAGTATGGGGATCCTTGTGATCTCAGCATTCATTATATAAGAACTAATTGTTACAATGTTACACAAAGTAAAAAATCACTAATTTTGCAAAAGATGCAGGACTCAATGANCCAACCAGGAACCGAACGCCGATCTCCTGGATCCTAGGTCCATGCTCAACTGCTGAGCCACGCCCGGCTGGGCTTAGTTATCTTTAAAAGAGCATTTTGCCCTGGCCAACATGACTCAGTGGTTAGAGTGTTGACCCAAGCACCAAAGGGTCTCAGGTTTGATTCCCATTCAAGGGCATGTACCTGGGTTGCAAGTTCAATCCCAGGGGTGCTTGTGGGAGACAACCAATCGGTGTGTCTCTCTCACATCTCACATGGATGTTTTTCTCTCTCTCTCTCCCCCTTTCCTCTTCCCCTCTTCTCTTCCACTGTCTTTGAAGATCATTGGTGAGGATTAACAACAAAAAAGAGGTTTTTTTTCTGTCTGCTTCTTAAATGTTGGTGTTCTTTAGGAGTCTTTAAACAACCTTTCTTTTTCACTTTACTTACTCTCTCTAGGTCATTATCTGGATTCATGACTTTAACTCCCATATCAGTTAACAGTGGCTCCAGCTTCTCTCCTCCACTCCAAATACCCTCCTTGAATGTTATGTAGATGTCATTCTCTGTACCATGCTTGGCTAGAGAGCCATTTGTCCTTCAATCAGTTTTCCTGCTTGGCTTTGTCTGTTGAGTCAGTTAATTGAAGAACCACACTACAGCCAAGGTTGGCTCAGTCCTCCATGTAAGTGAGTTCTGTAGCCGCAGTCTACACCCAGGGGCATGAATGAAAGGATACACAGTGTCATTCTTTCTATTGGAAACCTTACTCAAACCTGGCTCCTGCCTACAGCAGGTCTTATATTTTTGCACAGAAAGACAGCTCCAAAACATGTAAGCTTCCTTATGGAAATGCCCAAATGTCCCAAGATGTTAGTCTTTGACTTTTAACAATGAAACTATTCCACCTGTTACGGGCTGAATTGTGTCCTTACCACTCAGCCCCTAAATTCATATGTTGAAGTTCCCACTTTCAATCAGAATGTGACTGTATTTGGAGATAGAGGCATTTAAGTTAGAAAGAGGCCATTAGAGTAGACCCTAATCCAATCTGACTGGTGTCCTTATGAGAAGAAATTTGGACACAGACATCAGGATGCACATACATAGAGGAAAGACCATGTGAGGACATAGGGAGAAGATAACCATAGAAACCAAACCTGCCAAGCTTGATCTTGAACTTCTACTTTCCAGAACTATGAGAAAATAAATTTCTGTTGTTTAAAAAAATAATAATAAAAAAATAATAAGACTGAATTCTCTCTTTATTCCAACTCTATTAAAAATTAAAAACAAACAGACTCTTTCTCCTGGCTTCTGGCTGACCTCTCCAGCCTCCTCTCCTGCCACTTCCCAGTTGGCACTCCTCCCTTCAGCCACACAGAATTAGTGCCTCTTTCCTGAAAGCACCATGATGTGTCTAATCTTGGTGTTCTTTGGCCTGAAATGCACTTTCTCTTACTTTTCTACCCTACATTCTCTTACTTTGTCTTCCAAGATATGATTTAAGCAGTACTTTTACTAGAAAACTTCATTTACTCTTTTCCTCATCTGCATAGGCTGGGTTAAATGTGGGAATAAATGATAAAGTGTAAATGATAAAAACCTGGAAGAGGAGGTAGTATTTGCTTGGTTATTTCTGCCTTTTTGTTTCTACTGTTGCTTAACCTATGCTTAGGGAGGTTTATTTTGGCCATGATAGATTTATCATGGCTACAGAGGAAGTGCTTCGGGTCTATTTTGTTACTACCTATACAGAACTAGATGCTTTGAGGCTCTGTTGAGACACGTGGAGTTTTAAAGCTTTTGGCCAGCTGCAGTTTGCTACATGTGTATGATGAGCTGAGCCAGAGAGAAGAGGCATTGGTGTAAAGGACAGAGCCCTTCTGTTACTCACTTTATAGTTGTCCTGTGAAATTTTAATCTCTACACAGTTTGCTGTAGCAAGAGGTGAATCTTTCTTTGAGCTAATATTTGCTGATACTCTCCAGTTCCCAAATATTAAGGACTCTCAGAAGAAGCAGATAATCTCCTCTTGTTCCCTTGGGCTTTGTCCTAGTGTGATTTGCTGGAGAGCCATAGTAAACTGTTCTCTGTCTTTTTATGTGAGCCATTTGTTCTACCCATTTGGGGGCTCTAAATAGTAACTATACTTTGCAGAAACTGTTTCTAACTGGGTATTAGACGACATGGAGAGGGACATTTGGACAGGGAGGGGGCATAGGTTCTTAAAGCTAATTATGATTATGGTAAACTGATGATGATGATGACGATGATAGCAAATACTTCTATAGCACTGGCGATATTCCAGGTACTCTTCTAACTCCTTTATATACAGGGTGGGGCAAAAGTAGGTTTACAGTTCATATGGAAAATAATACAATAATTAATAAATACTATAAGAATAAACTGTGTGTTTCACATACAGCTGTAAGCCTACTTCTGCTCCACCCTGTATGTACATATGTTAATTCACATGTTAACCCTATAAGGTACTTTTATTATCTTCACTTAATCGATAAGGAAACAGGTACAGAGAGGCTAAAGAACTGCCCAAAGTTATCCAGCCAGTGAGAGATGGAGCCGGTGTTCAAATCTAGGCAGTCAGGTACCAGAATCTATGCTCTAAACCAGAGATTGATAAACTTTCTATAACAAATAAGATAGTAAATAGTTTAAGCTTTGTGGGCCATGTGGTCTCAGTGACAATTACTCAACTGCATTGTAGTGTGAAAGCAGTCATATAGACAGCTTGTAAAAGAATGAATGTGGCTGTGTTCCAGTAAACTTTATTTACAAAAACCGGGGTGCAGCTAGAATTTGGCCTGAATTGTAGTTTGCAACCCCTGCTTCTAACCTAGTGCTTTTCAAAGTATGTGTTGTATTGTGTGTTGGTCCTTGTGAGTTCTTTAACACTTCAGTTACTTAGAAGTGTATGTATTGTTAATTTACAAATATCAAGAGGATTTTCTGCATAACTTCATACTATTTTGATTCCTGTTTTTGTCAGAAACTAATACCGTAGCTTTACTTACTAAGTGGAGATAATAAAAGTATCTTATAGGATAATAACTTCATGTTATTCTGATTTCTGTTTTTGAAAATACAGAAAACATATTCTGTAGTTTCATTTTTAAAAAATTTGTTTAGGCTTATTTTGCAATTCAAAATTTTGAGATCTTAATGAAGCATCATGTGCACTTGGAAATGGTATGGAAAAATATACGTATTTTTCTGTTTCCTTTCCTTCTGTCTATTGTTTTCATTCATTTTATTTCTACATATTCTGTAAACCCCATAAAACTTGTTGTTTTGCCTAGAACAGTTAGTTTTAAAAGCAAATTAAAAACGAAAAATCTTATTTACATATTTACACTTGGGTGCTCTTCATTCGTATGTGTAAATTAAGTCTTGAGTAATCCTGACCCTTTCTGATCTTTGGGCGTTGTTTGGCGTTAGCTTCTTAGTAATAGTTTTTTCTTCCCCAGAATTGTTCTTTGCTTGGCCTCAGGATTTCATTCTGTGTATACTGGTGTTCTCCAGGGGACTTATAAGCAGATTTTATGGAGCATTTTCTCTGTTCTGCATTGCTAGCCATCTTAGCTTCTCCAGGCTGTCTTCTCAAATCAGCAAGTCTGCCAGGCTCTCTTTGAATTCCACCTCTCTGGGGTATCCTCTGGAAATTGCCTTCCAGATACAGGCTGGTGCCATTTCATGACTCACCTTGTTTGTTTTCCCCTCTTTCAGGGTTCACAATGCTTCATTTCCTGTTATGAATGTCTGAAAACATTTGTTTCATGTATTTTGTACAGTTTTCTAATTGTTTATGGCAAGGGGGCAAGTTCAGACCCTGATACTCATTCATGGCTAGAAGTTCATCTTTCATGTTTCTTAACCTCTCTCCTACTTTGCATCTCACTGTCTCCTCTTTTCAATTCTGTCTTTTTACCTCCCTCTAATCGCCTGTTTAACTCTTCCACTGAGTTTTTAATTTCTTTATTTTTTCATATCTAGAAATTCTCTTTGCTTCTTTAAACCTGCTTGGGTACTTTTTATAGTCTCCTATTCTTTGCGCATCTGAAGATATTTTTAAATCTTAAATTTATTTTATATAATCTGGTAATTCCAATATCTGATATTTTGCAGGACTGATTTTGCCGTTCATAGTAACTTTCTGATTCTCACTCAGGTCTCTTATTTCCTGTGGTTATTGGAAGCAGGTTGTTTATTTTTGTTTTTTGTGTGTGTTTTTTAAATATATCTTTATTGATTTCAGAAAGAGGAAACAGGAGGGAGGGAGAGAGAAACATCAATGATGAGTCATTGATCAGCTGCCTCCTGCCCCCGGTCTGGGGATTGAGCCCGAAACCTGGACATGTGCCCTGACCAGGAATCGACCCCTGATCGCCTGGATCCTAGGTTGACTCTCAACCGCTGAGCCACACCCGGCCGGGCTGTTTGTTTATTTTTGTATTGATTGCTACCTTTAGAAATTCTTTGAGGGATGGAAGTTTTAGTCTTCCACGTAGGATTTATATCTACTTATGCAACATTGTTGAAAATGCTTGAAGATTCTGCAATCTTTAGGACCACTCGAAATGAAAACTTTCACTTGAGAGATTTATGATTAATGTGAATTTAGGCCTTACAACCACATGAAAGTTGCTTGTGGCTACAGATTTTCAGGGTCGTTTTTCTCCCTTTTATGCATTGCTCTCCCTCCTTAAAATAGGGTGGTCTCTCATTTTTCCTTACTCTGAGCTCAGAGTTCACTGCTTTAGTTAGAGGTCTGCAGTTCAAATCCCAACCTTGGGAATGTCCTAAACTTTATTTCCTATTCTTCTTCAGCCTACAGAACAAAATCAGGTTTACTAGGATTTAGCTGATACCTTTGAGTAAAGTGGGTGTAGGCACAGTCTTACTGTTCAAGGTTCCCATAGGAAACCACTTTGTTTTTGGTCTCAGATTTGTTAATTTTTGATAGCTCAGCAGTGTATTCAAAAGATGTTTTTACATTTTATCTATCATTTTTAGTTTTTGACAGGGTGAGATGTTTAGGGCATTTTGTCAATCCTGCTGTTAAACGTGGAAGTCATTCTCCTGTTTCTTCCTGTGAAGAAATGTGCATATGTGCAAATACTAACAAGACAAAATAAATCCAGCCTTTCTTATGAAGTCTGTAAAGTATATGTGTGTAAGTTTTGATGTTTATAATCCCCGTGGGTAGACTTTGCCATTTATAATTTGGTTCCTTTTTTATTTGTTTTCCTGTGTGTTCCCTCCTGGACTTCTTGGACATAATTCAGCGCTTGGTTTCAGTTGGACTCGATTCAAAAAACGCAGTTTGTGTTTGGGATTGGAAAAGGGGGAAAATGTTATCTATGGCTCCTGGTCACACAGATAGAGTAAGTATTCCCTTTTGGGGTTTCTAGTGGGTACTGGATGGGAAAAGGCCGGAGGGTGTTAGGGGATTTTATGTCCCTGTGTTTTGTGATTGACAGTTGATATGTAATTAAAAATTTAAAGAACACATATTTATTGTAGATTCAGTAGGTATAGTGTTAGCACAAAACTTTTAAGATACTAAATTTTATGATACTAAAACCTCAATTTAAAAATAAATAGTTCATGCCTGGGGTTTATTTGGTTTGGTTTACCACTGATTTGTTACTTATATTTCATAGTCGAGGTGAAAAAGATATTTTGTGTGTGAATTTAAAATTATTTTTCAGTATAAAATTTTAAAGACCTAGCATATTTTACTTTTGAAACTTGTTAAAAATATATTTATTCTAAGCTATTTAAAATTAACATAAAGAATATGTTGTCAGCTTTTTAACTCAATTATACTACTTTTAAATTACAATACTTTTATAAACATACATCAGAATTTAATCATAAACTCTTTAAAATGTCTGAGTTTTTTTTGTGTGTAGTAAAATCTTAATCTAAACCAGCACAGGAGATATAGGCATTGATTCTATTTTGAGGGAATCTATGAATCTGTAAAAGTTGTGTAAAACATTTGTGTGAATTTGCATTTTGGAAAATAAACTCGTTTTTTAGCAGATTCTCATAGGGGCCTGTTACACACACACAAACACAATTTAGATTATTAAAGTGTTAAGTATAGTTTATTAAACAACTTTGTATTCTGACTTAGAACAAAGCATTTCACACATTAGTACTCTGGGTTTAGTAAATAGACTATTATGAAAAATGATACTGTCATTGTAACTTTTAAAAGTATTTTTGTGGTTAGTATTTTAAAGTTGCATCAGTATGTTTTTCATTTAATGTGTTATGGTGAGTTGTTAAACATCAATTTACAAGATGTATTCTTTTTTCATTATCACTGAAGAGTATCACTTTGTATATTTTTAGAAGTAGTAAGCATTTTACACCATTATGCTGGCAGGTGTCAAAGAAACATGATGAGGACTACCAGATAGCAGAATTTTTTTCTGCTATAAAATTATTTTTCAAATATTAGTGTTTCTTTTATTTATTACTAAAGTACATGTTTCTAATGTGTATTTTATTTCATCTATGCTTTTTCTTATTTGCTTTTGTAACAAAAATGGTTTGTGTCTATTTAGAATTTATGGGATCTCCAAGATTTAAGTGTATAAGTTAATTTTGTTTGACCCATAAACAATAAAGAAAGCTAAAAAATAAAAACAGAATTTGTACTGTGAAGTAAATGTTTGGATTCTTTAAGTAGTTCTGCTTGATAGAAAGCTATGAAAATGTTTGTTTTATAGCTGTATGTGTTGTGTATGTTCCATTCAGATTTTTCTTTTGTAGAAATTATTCAGATTCCTGCCTCATGCTCTAGTTGTGTTCAGCCATTCTTGTTATTTGTGGACTTACTTTTTTAAAAAAATTAAAAATAGAGTTGTTAATTGTCATTCCACTAGTTGCTTCATAAGTTCATAGAAACTAAGAAATAGTTTTTGTTCCTTATCATGTATGTATTTACTTTATTTCTTACAAGATTTTGAAGTATAGGATTCTGATTATTTGTTGTGGAATATTACTTTATGATAGGTAGGGTTTGGGGGTTATTTGGTCTTTTGGACAGCATTCTTAAATGATTCTGAAAATAAGTATTTTAACCATGAATCTGATTTGTTTACAGATATTTGATATTTCTTGGGATTTGTACCAGCCAAATAAACTTGTCAGCTGTGGTGTAAAACATATCAAGGTACTAGAAGGGTCTTGTTTTATGATAGTCATGTTACTTATTTGTCGCCACTGCATACATATCACACTATTTACAATTTAGGATAGTTTTAGGATTTTGACAGTACTTATTTTTAAATGTCAACATTTTTAATGTTTTTATGTTCAACCTAACAGATCTTTTTTGTGTAGTTACTGTGTGGGGAACATATGTGAGGGACATAGGTATGAACAGAGATAAAACACTTCCCAGAACGGAATTTATAGTCTAATGAAGTAGGTTTTACTGTGTGCATCTTGTTTCTTCATATTTCACTTAGAAAGTAAAATGTGAGAACAGGAGACCAAGTAAACTGAGTTTTCTCTCACAAAGATAAAACGTTGTGATAGAAGCATATGGATGGAGGTGGCTCTGCCACCTACTAGCTGTTTTACCTGGGTTGAGTCATTTAACCTCTGAGCTTTTTTTACGTCTTAAAACTGTGGCTCCTATTATACCCTCGTAGGGTTGATGATTAGATAAGGCAGTATATATGTCATAGAGCCTAGCACATAGTCGGTCAGCTTTCTGAAAGTGTCACCTTTTCTTCTCTATATGTTTGCTTTCTTATTTGATCTCAGCCTTTGATAGTCACTTTACTTTGCATATGAAAACTCTAAGTTTTGTTTTATAATTATAGTTCAGGTTTTGAAGCCCATATAGTCAGTGGTGATACTCATTCTTATGTTTATAATTACTTTTAAATCCCTGATGCAGATTGGAAATACTTGCTTTTCTCCCAGTATCTGATAGGACAGTTCCTATAACAGTTAATTCCTAGTAAGGTTTTATGTGCCCATTCTTTTGATACTCTCACTTCTATCCACATTTTCTCCAAAGCATCTGTGTCTGCTGCTGCAATTCTGGTTTTCATATTCTGGTACTGATTTGATAATGATTAGTATTAAATCTTTATTTTTTCAATAAATATTTAATAGCAAAAGGCTTTGTGCTAGGTTTTAAAGTATGTGGTACAAGCACTGTGAGGGTAGAAATTTTTGTCTTGTTCATGATGTTTGACACAGTACTTGATATATATTAAGTTTTTAATAAGTTGTTGGCAAATTAAGAGACCTTACTGTTGTTTTATATTATAAGTAAAGCTGAATTTTTCACTTTCAGGTTTTTAAAAAACGTATTCTCTCAAAGTAAACAAACTACATTTTTTACTATGAGTATATTTTTTTACCTTTGGTAGAGGCAATGAATAGCATGGTAGCTCTCTTTGCAGGCAATACATGTGAGGAAACTAAGTCCCAAAGATGATCTAGAACTGCACTGGCCAGTACGGTAGCAACTAGCCACATGTAGCTATTTAAATAAAATTAATTAAAATTAAATAAAATGTAATATTCATTTCCTCAATCATATGGACAGTGTGCTCAAGCGCCACATATACCTAGTGATTATTATATATATAAACTATATACATATTTATATCTCTCTGTAGATACAGATATATACAAACACATTTTCATCATTATAGAAAGTTGTATTGGACAGCATTGGTCTGGATTCTAGAACAATGGTTCTTAACTGAGCACCAGAATCATTTGGATACCTGCAAGTCGCTATTCTAAAAGAAAATAATAGATTGAAATTGGGACTTGCTGAAAGGAAGAAAACCAGCTATCCCTATGCACAAAATTATGGAACTTTTAAATTAAAAATCAGTTTCTTTGATTAAAAATATTCATTAGTTGATTGAGTGGATCAGCATTATAATTTTCAGTTCTTTGAGGCTTCATGTTTTAAACTAAGATCTTTAGGTTTTAAAATAAGGTCTTGAAGATCAGGTAAGATTTTTAAGTATATAATATTAACAAATTATATTATTTTAAATAGTAATTACTTATAAAGTTGAATTTATTCTCAGGGCCGATTTTCTTTATGCACAGCTATTTAATGTATATATCCCTGCCCTGCCCCAATTTTGTTTTTTTATTTCTCTTTGTAAACTATTAAAATTTATCTAAATCCACATAAAAGAACAAAACNCGATTTTCTTTATGTATATATCCCTGCCCTGCCCCAATTTTGTTTTTTTATTTCTCTTTGTNTATTTAATGTATATATCCCTGCCCTGCCCCAATTTTGTTTTTTTATTTCTCTTTGTAAACTATTAAAATTTATCTAAATCCACATAAAAGAACAAAACCCGTGTCATGAAGACTTATGCTTGACTTGTTTGACTTCCTTGTTTTCCCAAGAATGAACCAATCATTTCCAGTATGTCTCTCATTCTTAAGCTTTGAACATGTCAGTGAGTGCAGCGCACCAGTCCTTCCATCCTTCATCTTTTTCATCTTTATAGATTGAACATGAGGTTTTGTCCTCTTCCTATTAGTAGGTAGTGTCTTATCTTCATTTTCGTTGCTAACTCATTCCCAACTTTTCAACCTAAGTTTCATGTAGGTTTTTTCCCCAGAAACTTAAGGGAAGCATAGCATATTTTAAAAGTAATGTAGTTCACCCCTCCCTTATTGTTGCAGATGAGGACTGAGACCAGTGACTTACCTGCTATAACACAGCCCTTGACAGCACTAGGGTGAGGATGTGAGCCTTGAATGCTATTGTATTGTAAGGGGATTTCTTAGGTAATTTCTAGTCTGCTGCTCTAGTATAGCATCCAAGGATTGGGAATGTTTTACTTCATTTTATAAGCATTCTTTGGTAATTTGATTATACTATGTACCCTTTAGTTCTGGAGTTTATGTGGAAATGCTCTGACCCCAAAACGAGGGGTCTTTGGCAAGACTGGTGACCTTCAGACAATATTGTGCCTGGCCTGTGCGAGAGATGAATTAACATATTCTGGTGCACTCAATGGGGATATATATGTTTGGAAAGGAGTTAATCTTATACGAACAATACAAGGAGCCCATACCGTAAGTATATTTAAATATTTTAAACACTTTTAGATGTTAACTGCTTATCTTCTTGTCTTAGAATAAAATACTACATAATGTAGCAAACTTTCTAATCAATTCCGTTACTTGGAATAGATTATAACTGAATTAATTTGTCTATATTCAAGATTTCAATGAAGAAACAGGCAATTAGACACATGAATATTTATTAAATTAGTATAATTAGTATCTTGTTCAAACTGTTTCCGTAATATGGTATCTTTCTCAGAGTAGTGCTGAAAAAAAGTTTGTTAAATTCAACCTAAAAGTATTCTTGATAACCACATTAGAATAAAGCTAGTGCTCCTGTGGCTAATTTACCAGTGGGAAATTTGGGGACATGTCAAGAAAAAATGTAACTTTTAAATTTTAATGTTATTAATGCATTAAGTGAGTGGCAAAGTAATTTAAATTTTGTGCTTCATGAGACTGTCATATAAGCAAATGATCAAAACAGGAAAAACAGTCTGATGTTAAAACCTTTTAGTATTTTTTGATTTGGGCTTTTTAGCAGGTAGTTTCCTCACATACTGAAGGGAACTAGAGAACATAGAGCTACTACATTGCTAGCAGTGAGATCTTAAAAAGGAAAGTTGCTGACTATATTAATATGAACCACTATTAAATTTTTTAAGGAAACATTTACATAGAACTTGTTTTAAGCAAAATGCCTAAAAACTAGAAATACCAGATTCTTTTCCACAAAAGTGGTGGCAATTCACATTTTCACCATCAGTATATAAAAATGTCAGTTCCTCTTCTCATATTCATCAGCAAAAGATGTGGCTGATATTGCTGTCTACTGTGTAAAATATAGTAATTCTTATTTTAATTTGTTTCCTGTCTACTTGTGAAATTTCGTATATTTATTGACTACCTGAATTTCCTTTTCTTTTAATTGGTTTTCATATCCTTTGTTCTTTATGTTGTTGTTGACTTTCTTTGCTTTATTTGTATATTAAGAATATTAACCTGAGAGTTGTATACATTACAAATGCTTCCCCAATCTGTTTATCTTTGCTTATGATATCTTTTCTTATATGAAAATATTAAAAAATGTTCTTTATAGCTTGTGTATAACCTGCCATGCATTAAAAAGTCTCTCACTAGCTGAAGTTACATAAGTGTTCTGACTCCTTTGTAACATTTGTTTTCTATTTTACATTTAGAATTTTATGCCTATCTGTAATTCATTTATATATGGTATGAGGTTTAACTTTTTTTATGTTATGCCTATATTATTAAATACCTTCTTGGTCATATATTGAGTTCCTCTATGTGCAGAGACCTATTTCTAGATTTTCATTGGTCTTTTCTGATGTATTTGTTTATTCATGTCACATCAAAATCTTTTAAAGTGGAAAAAAAAATCTTTTAAAGTGGATTTCTACCTTTATATATAGCAGATTTTCTTAATAAGTATGTATTGTTAAATTATTTCCTCTTCTAGGCAGGAATTTTTAGCATGAATGCTTGTGAAGAAGGCTTTGCTACTGGTGGCAGAGATGGCTGTATTCGGCTTTGGGATTTAAGTTTTAAACCAATTACCGTGATTGATCTCAGGGAAACAGACCAGGGATACAAAGGTAAGAGCAAAACAAGTATCTCATTACTAGGCAAATTCTGAATATACCAAGGCTGTCTCTTTCAGTAAACATAAATGTATGTTTTGTGACTATAAATGAGACTTCATTTGCTACTTCACACTGTATACATTTAATTGAAGTTCTTTTGTGGAAGAGAAATTTTGCCTAAAGACACCCTAGGCTTACTGTCACGACGACAGTTCTTTCCTGTGCCTAGTGACTGGGCACTTAATGAGCCTTCAGAGGGGTGTGATGGGCCTTTGCTGGGCCTGCGGGGAGGGGGTGTGTGATGGGCACTTGCTGGACTTGTAGGGGGTGTGATGGGCACTTGCTGGGCCTGCAGGGGCGTGTGATGGCACTTGCTGGGTAACGCGGGCCTTGAAACTATTTCTCTGTTAGAGCGCTAGGTGTAACTTTAGCAGAGAGACTGTTGGATACAGTGTGCTGAGGTTTGTGCACAGCACCTCTATGGTGGTCATGTGTATAGATAAGAGAACAGAGAGACACTAGCCTTCCCAAGGTTAGAAAGGAATTGTGGCTTTAGAGGAAAAGTAGACGTCTCTTTTTTTAAAATTAAAGAAAAAAATTTTAATCCCCATCCTTGGGTGAGGATTAAAAAAATAATAATTAAAAAAAGAGAGAGGCCCGGCTGGGCTGGCTCAGCGGTTGAGCATCGACCTGGGATCCACGCAATCGGGGTTCGACTCCTGGTCAGGGCACAGCCGGGGCTGTGGGCTCGGTCCCCAGTCAGCGGCCTGCAGGAGGCGGCCAGTCCGTGACTCTCTTGATGTTTCTCTCTCTCCCTCTCCCTCCCTCTCTCTGAAATCAATAAAGATGTATTAAAAAAAACAAAACACACACAAAAAGAGAGAAGTATCATTCCACGTAGAAAACAATACAGAGAATTGAAAAAGGTGTGTGGCTCAGAGACTTACTTACAGATTCCTTTTATCTTACATCTAAGGTATAAAAAGGTGTAAAAATTAATGTTGATTCAGGCAATCGGAATTCTGTTACCACAGCATTGCTCTTAAATACCACTTACTTTTGACTAGGTTTGTCTGTGAGGAGTGTGTGTTGGCGAGGTGATCACATTCTAGTTGGAACACAAGACAGTGAAATTTTTGAAATTGTGGTGCATGAAAGAAGTAAACCTTTCCTGATTATGCAAGGGCATTGTGAAGGTGAGCTTTGGGCACTTGCCATCCATCCTACTAAACCTTTGGCTGTGACCGGAAGTGATGATCGTTCAGTCAGGTAAGCAAAAAATAATAGCCCAGGCTGGAATTTGTTCTTAGATAAACATAAGAAAAACTTAAAAAAAAAATACTTAGATTTAAATTTTATCAAAGTTTTTTCTTGTTCTTTTGTTTTATGTAGCTGAATTTATCAATATTTTCTTTTATGACTTTTGAGTTTTCTATCACGGAGAAATCTTCTCTAAAGTTAAAAAGTTTTTTAATATATTCTGCTAGTACGTTAGTAGTTTTATTTTTTATGTTTAACTCCTAATCTGTGTAAAGTTTTCTTTAGTGTTTAAGAAGTAAGGTGGGCATGCAACCTAATTCATTCTAGAAAACTCCTTATTTTTTAAATTGTATGTTAATCAGTCATGCTATTTGCTGCCATTGTGCTACTCCAGTTTTGGGGGGGTGGTGGACGCTGCAGCTCTGAGTCCATATGGAAAGCTGCTGTGGGGTTTCCCATATGCTTTGCTATGAACTATTTTATAGTTCCTTTCATTTTAGGTGAAACGCTATTTCTAGCTGCTGCATAGCTGTTGAAAAAAGGGCAACTAGTCTTTAAAAAAATAATTGCTCAGATTTCTTTTGTTATTGGTGATCAAGTTATGTGGAAGCAACTCTTCCACTGAAAATAACTAAGACTGCTAGTCAAAATGTAAATCACTTTAAAAATGTTCAAAGAACAGTCAAGATAGTAAGGAACTGTCAGCCAAATTGTGGAAGAAAGTGGGAATTTAGGAGCACCAGTGAGCCAAAGCCACTTTTGCCCTGAAGGCATTTCTCTTCCATTGAATAAACTTGGGCTTTGTTTATGGCTTTCTCCAGGGGCAGAAGGGCAGAGAAGTCAAGACTGAGGGCCTGCCCAGGGAGACTAGTCCAACACACCCAGCCAGAACTATAGAATAGGCTCTGAAAAAATATCCCCTGCAAGTTTGTGTGGGAATGGAGATCTTGTTTCTTGCTTCAAATTTTGATTAGCACAGGAAGTGTATAAAGCAGTATGATGATGTTACTCAAACAGCATTAATTGTTGTCCAGATAACTTTACCACAGTACTGGTTGCACATATAAGTGCTGCTTTTGCCTTATAATTTTAGATTGAATTCGTTAAGAAACAGTATCAAATCTGTAGCAAAAGCTAATTTCCAGTGCCATTCAGTGTTTAATAATAGTAGTTGAGAGCAGTTCTGGTTCAGAAAATTTTCATTCTTAGCTCTGAGATCAAAATATCATAATAAAACTTTACCACTGCAAAGCCATTAAACTGCTGTTTAGTAGGGCAAGTTAGAATTTTTAGCTTCTATTACTAACAAAAATTCAGAACTGATAGAAGTTAAATCCACAAGAGAAAAGGAAGCTCATGGTTAACATTATTGGTTCAAAAACACGATTCAAATATTTGTTTGCAGAATAATTGCTAAATAATAATACAGTGAATACATAGGCTTTGTAAGAATTAATAAACAGAAACCTCATTTAAAATGAAGTCAGGAGGCCAGAAGGGGACCTCTCACGCCCTGTAGTCACAGAGGCCAAGAGGAAGAACTCTGTGTTGTTTTTTTTAAATGTTTTTATTGATTTCAGAGAGAGGGGGGAGAGAGAAACATTGATTGGTTGTGTCCCGTTTGCAAACATTAATTTATAGAGCCTATTATATTTTAAGCATACACTAGTTAACTATTTTTTATTTTAATTAAATGTTACAGGATATGGAGCCTAGTAGATCATGCGTTAATAGCAAGGTGTAATATGGAAGAACCAATTCGTTGTGCAGCTGTAAATGTAGATGGAATCCATCTTGCCCTTGGAATGAAGGATGGCTCATTCACTGTACTTAGAGTAAGGTATGGTCTTAGGGAAGAAACAGAGATAGTAATTTTCTAAGTGAGATAGAGAATATAATACTTACTGCTTTATCCATTTCCTTTTTAATTAATATATATTTAAGATATTAGTTTCATTAAATATGAAAGTATATTTATAAAAATGGCTTTGTCAGAAAATTAAGTTAACTTAGAATCCTTGGTTTGGGGGTTAAGAATGCTTGAATAGGTTAATGGTTAAAATCTGAACTATAAATTTGGGTCCTGACTTTTCATTCCTTGGTAGTATATTTTTTCAGTAATGATCCTCTGCCATTGAAGAGGCTGGGGTGAACATTGAGACTTTAAAAATGGGTGAATGATTTTGTTGTTTGCAGCTTTATGCTTTGAAAAAAATTTCTACTGTTCTTCCTTTGTTTGGGTCTACTTTGAAGAATTTGTTAAAGCAATTAACATCTAGTGTTGAATTGTAGATAACGGTGTAGATAAGTACCTGTGAAATCTTTTTTATTGAATTTATTGAGGTGACACTGATTACCAAATTTTACAGGCTTCAGGTGCACAGATCTACTACACATTCATCTGTGCACTGTGTGTTCACCCCAAGTCAAGTCTCTGTCCATCACCATTTATCCCCCCATACCCTCCTTCACCTCCCTCCACTCCCCCACCCTTACCTGTCCCCCTCTGGTAATCTCCACACTGTTGTCTTATGAGGACCATCCACCCAATTACCCAATCCAGAAACCATTAATTCTTTCTTTTGCCTCCCTAGTTTGGTGGAATAGCATCTCAGCTGGCCTCCTTACCTTCTGTTTTACTTACCTCAAAACCTTTTTCACTCTACAGCTATATTGATGCCTTTTAAAACATATTTGTTTGCATCCCTCCTTTTTCTGAAGTATGATAGAAGCTTTGGACTGTCCTTAGGATAAAGTTCATAATCCTTAATTAACATAGCCTGAAGTGCCCATCTCTACAGCCTATTTCTTTCTACCTCAATCTCTTTCTTTCAACATGTATAAAATATATTTCGCTTTTTCAGATACATCATGTTCTCTTGTACTTCTGAGTTTGTATGGATCCTGACTCCTCTTTCATCACAAAATTTTGTGACTTTATTTTCTTTTTGTATGGCTCCATAAATTTAAGCCAAATCTCTAAACTACTTGAAGTAATTTAGGAAATGAAATTTAGCATTTTTCTCTATTTCCAGCATATATTGTACTCATATATTTCTGTTCAGCAAAATAATTATTCCTTAATACCATTTGTCTCATTTACATTTGTTATGTGGTTTATAAATACTTGATACAGCCTCACAGTCATTTTAGACACATTTGGAAACTGTGAACTAATCTGTAGTGACTTTTTTCATGTAGTCTAATTTTTTTTTCTTTACAGAGATATGACGGAAGTTGTACATATTAAAGATAGGAAAGAGGCAATTCATGAGTTAAAATATTCACCAGATGGAACTTACCTTGCTGTTGGATGCAATGACAGCTCAGTTGATATTTATGGAGTTGCTCAACGTTATAAAAAAATTGGGGAGTGTGTGGGATCACTTAGTTTCATCACTCATCTGGACTGGTCCTCAGATAGTAGATATTTACAGACAAATGATGGAAATGGTAAAAGACTTTTTTATAGGATGCCAGGTAAAAATTTCTAATAAATTATTTATAAATTATAGATTTTTAGTGCCTATAAAATACTTTAGGATTTCACTAGAAGCAGAGTAAGTTACCTTTGATTATAGGAAATCAATGAAGATCTAAGGTAATATTTTGGGCATTGTGGTCTTTTCCATAAGGCTGCCCTGTTATATTGAAGTCTTTTTGGTTCTTAATTAAAACTTCTTTGCTTGAAGGATCTAAAACTTCTTTATGTTGAATTCCATACCATGTGAGTTGTATATGGTGAAGTCCTTGTGTGTATTAGAAAGTCAGAAATGCCATTTTTTATTGGTGGAACTTCTATATAATTGCTAAAAATGTCTAACCATAAGTTGTTTGGAGTTTTGTGGTTACCACAAATAAACTTTGCAAATATTAATAATATAGCTAACATTAAATTTGAAAAAGTTTTCATCAAAGTTTTAAAAAGAATTAAAACAGAGCAAAATATTCTTAGTACTTTATTTACTATGATGCTTAGTGAATTAGTTCACAATAATTAATTTGATAAAACTAGATACATAATTAAATTAATGCATCTCCTTAATAGTATTTTATAAACAACCTGTATGTAATGATGATTGAGTCAATCCTAAAGTCCTGTTACCTAATGTAAATGTATTAGTCCCCACTTATCTTTCCTTCTCAGTCCTTTTAAAAAGTTCTCATTTTCTCAACCATGTTCCTTCTTAGGTTTCTTTTTTTACTTTTTCTTCTAACTTGCCCTGTTGTGACTAAACCATAGCATGACTTTAATAGGGTTCAGTTTTTTTCTCCACGCGGTGAACCTGCTCAGCTACATCATAATCAAATCTGCTTGTGTCTCTGAATCAGTATAATTTTGGCTTTTAAAAAGTTTCTAGCATTTAATTCTCTCCTCTCCTTACCATATTTACCAAGCTATTCATGTATTCTATTTTTAACTTGAGTGGGAAACTACTTAAATTTTTTAAAAAATCCTCACTAGAGGATATGTGTGTGTTTTTTAATTGTTTTGTTGTTGTTGTAATTGTTTTTGTTTTGTGGTGTGTTTTTTAGAGTGAGGAAAAGAGAAAGAAAGAGGGAGAAACATTAATGTTAGAGAGAAATATTGATCAATTGTCTCCTGTATCTGCCCTGACCAGAAATCAAACCCGCCACCTTTTGGTGTATGGGATGATGCTCCAACCAAGTGAGCCACCTGATCAGGGCGGGAAGCTGTTTAAATTTTGGAGTATACCATAATATCAGTACAATTTATGCTTTGGTAAAAATCAAATGAAATAACTTATTAAATTAAGACTGATTTCTTTTCAGGAGGTAAAGAAGTGACAAATAAAGAAGAAATAAAAGGTGTTCACTGGGCTTCATGGACATGTGTTTCAGGCCTTGAAGTAAATGGAATTTGGCCCAAGTATTCAGATATCAATGATATAAATTCAGTAGATGGAAACTATATTGGCCAAGTTTTAGTTACAGCTGATGACTATGGAATTATAAAATTATTTCGATATCCTTGTTTAAGAAAAGGTAATTTTTCTTTCAAAATACTATTTATATAGGACTTTTAAGTTCTTGCAAAAAATTAGTCTTGAGATAAATAAGAGGGTTTATATTTTTGAAAATGTGTGCATTGATTATTTGGTGAAGAGTTTTCATGAAAATGAACAATATTAGCTACTTTTTATTTTGCTAATTAAAAAATTGTCATATGTTACATTTATTTTTTGACGTGAAATGTTTATTAGAAAATTATTTTTGAATTCATATATTATGAATAGACTGATGCTTTATTTCTTTCTTTTTAAAGAATCATTTTTCTCCCCACTTGTAGAATTGCTTCATATAGTCAGACTGTACAGTGATAGTTTATACTTTTCTTATGGTTTATTATCTTTAATTATTCAGCTTTTAGGTGACATTTTTCTTATGTCTTTTTCTCAAGAATTCTGATGAAGTAGTGAGCTGTACAAGTTCAGGTCATAGTTTGGAATCGGTTGGTTGGTTTTACATGCAAGTGTGTGTTTGCTTAAATACTTAACATATGTTGTTTGACATATATTTCTATAACAATGGGGTTAAGAAAAATGGGGGTTATTTTCTTTTTTTAACTTTGAAGGCCGTGATTTATTCATTTATTGAGTTATTTAAAAAAATTTTCAATTATAGTTTATATTTAATATTATTCTGTATTAGTTTCAGATGTACAGCATAGTGCTTAGACAGTCATATACTTTACAAAGTGGTCCCCCTGATATTTCAAGTACCAACCTGGCACCATACACAGTTATTACAATATTGACTATATTGCCTATGCTATACTTTACATCCCCCTGACTACTTTGTGACTACCAATTTGCACTTCTTAATCCCTTCACCTTTTTCACCCAGTCCCTCAACCCCCTTCCCCTCTGTGCAACCATTAGTCTGATCTCAGTATCTATGAGTCTGTTCCTATTTTGTTAGTTTATTTTGCTCTTTAAATTTAAGGGATTATTTTTCTACACATTTTACATATTGCTTCTTTTTCCTTGGATCTCTTCTAAAATGATAATATTAATCATTCTGTTCATAGTCCTGGGGAATAAATGAAATTCTATATTAGTCCTTTATTTCATGCCTTGTTCCATAAAGTATTCAAGTCAGCTTATAACAGGTCCATAAGTACTAAAATAATTGTATGAATAGAGAATCAGTACCAGGGTAAATACCATAGTATTAAAATCAGATAAAGAAAATAACAGTAGGCCCTGGCCAGGTAGCTTAGTTGGTTGAGGGGTCGTCTTGATGTGCCAAGGTTGCGGGTTGCATCCCCCAGTCAGGGCACATACAAGAACTAACCAATGAATGCATAAATAAGTAGAACAGCAAATCAATCAATCTCTCTCAAATCAATAAAAAAAAAAGAGAGAAAACAGTAGTCAAACATCAAAATTAAATGTGAGCTTCCGGGAATAAAGTAAATCAGGGTACAAAATAATTTTAATTTTAGCTTATTTTTTAAAAAAGCATGCTTGCTACTCAGGGAAAGCAAAATTTCTTCAGAGATTTAATTTACAAAGAGCTCTCTCCCATAGTATGGAGATATTAGGTGCAGTGAGTGTATTTCTAGAGCATTAACATCTATAGCAGATGCAGTAATTTCATCTGGTTGTTAATGAAAACTTTGGGCAAATGTTAAAATGCAGTTTAGTAAAAGGTGATTATGGCAACAGCTGAAATAGTTTTATTCAAATAAGCAGTCCATTGATGTCAGGCTTAAGGGCCCATTTTTCCTAGAAGCCTGGGCTGGTTGTTTCTGTTGTGCCTCCAAAGTGGTGAGTTCCAGGTCCTACCACTTATGCCATATTGTTGTCTGCCTATGAGATGTTAGCTTTCTAGGTGCATGTAAAAGTGCATTCATAAATAGTGCAGACCTTCTCCAACGTAATATAAGACTTTCAAAATGTTATCTAAATGAGGTCAAACCTTATATATCCAGTGTGATTTAACAGGGATGTGTATGTGTTGCCAAACCCGGTTTATTTAAGCAGGATATGGAGAATGTATTCTGAACTTAGAACCACAGAAATTGTTCCTATCACACAGATTTTTTAAAAACTAACCACAAAGTAAAACAATTCCTTTACGATTGACAAAGTCTAGTACATACTGCCTCAACCAGATGATACAACCTAACATCATTAGTGATGGAACAGTGCCCATTGAAATGATGTATCCAAAGGGACACAACATTGCCTATACCAAAAACACGTCATCTAAATCTAACATGAAGAAACAACAGGCAAACTCATATTGAAGGACATTACACAAAATGTAGAGATTAAAAATGACTGTAAAGGACAGTTTGGGGGGACAACCACTGGACATATTTTATTTTTACTAATATGGCATATTACATTGATTGGGTTTTGTATGTTGAATCAACCATTGCTTTTCTGGCATAAATCCCATTTTGTCATGTTGTGTAATCTTTTTTATATGTTGCCGTGTTAGGTTTTCTGGTATTTTGTTGATGACTGAAGTTTTAAAAGGATTCTGTGGTAGCTGGACTGAGAATAATGGGGGTGGAGTGGACTGGTTGAATGTCACTTAAGACAAAGGCCTCAAACCAAAACATTCAAAATGTTAATATGAAATCAGTTGATCCCCTTGTGGCTGCAGGCTTTTCTCAAAGCAATAAGATCATGCCTCACAGCCTTGTGGTTCCTATTACATTATATTGTGAATCAGTAGAGCAAAGATATACATTCCTTGGTACAGACTCATTCCTTTGTTCATCCAACAGGTTTTTGAATTAACATTTTTTCATTTGATCATAATTAAGAGAATGGAAGGAGGATGCATTGATTCAGGTGTAGAGATTATCTTTGAGTTGGTATTTTTGTATTGGTATTTGTTTATCAATTCAAAGGTATGTTTTTATTATAGGGGCCAAATTTAAAAAATATATTGGCCATTCGGCTCACGTAACTAATGTCAGATGGTCACATGATTATCAGTGGGTTATTTCTATCGGTGGAGCAGATCATTCTGTCTTTCAGTGGAAATTTATTCCTGAAAGAAAATTAAAAGATGCTCTTCACATAGCACCCCAAGGTGAGTAGTAGTACATACTGCCTAAACAATTTGTTTCTCAAATAACTTCAGTAACCCCCAAATAAAGTTTTACTGTTGAAATGTAATCTAGCCTCATATGTTAATGGTATAGTTTATTAGTGGAAATTTTAAATTAAAATACCAGGCCTATATCTTTAAAGTCAGATGTCATAGAATATAGAATACAAAGTACTTTTGGTTGCATTTTAATCTGTCAAATGATGGATGAAGAAACAGTGACATTAGCAGAACAAGCATTTAATGTGTTCTATGGGAGATGGCTATCTAGGTTCTGTATATAGATTTTTTAGCAAAGAAAAGTTATCTAATGTCAATCTGTTAATCATAGTATTTCCTAACCATTTTTCATGTTAATTATAGGTAATATTCACATCTATTTGCACAGATGTTTAAATTTGATACAGCAGTTGTTGGGGAGCCAGTGAAGGGACTTACAGGAGCTATTGAGTTTGCAGTGAGTGGAGAGGAAGATAATCTGTAGCGCAGTTTACTAACATCTGTGTCACTTGAATAGGTGATTTTGTTCGATTGTTCTATGGTTTGCCTCCCTGTCAGTTGGCACAGTCAGCTCTTAACCATTAATTTTATAGTGCTGCTTTGAAAATGGATCTTTCTTAAACAAATAATTTTTTTAAAAAAATTACAGAAAGTCTGGCAGACTCAAATAGTGATGAATCAGACTCAGATCTGTCGGATGTTCCAGAGCTGGATTCTGAAATTGAACAAGAGACACAGCTCACTTACCGTCGGCAGGTGATTTTTATTATCACATGATTTTTCCCCGAAAAAGTCTAGTTTCTTCTTCATCTTGCTCCCTGTTGCTTACTCATGTATTATCTTTTATGGTTTTTAATTTTCCAAGAAATATGTGGCCACTTGTTTTCCCTCTTTAGGAGTAAAAGTACACTTTTGTGACATGTTCTGATAGTAAATGCTTGATGTATTTAAGTGTGCCTGTATTATATTTGCCTATAGCTTTTTGTCACAATACACTCCTACTTATTCCCTTTAAAATACTCTCTTAAGAAGTACAAAATTATCATGGAACACTTAAGTATGTATTTGTCAGTTGACACACAGAAAATGTAAATTAGTTCTTCCCAAGGAAGTAAATTTTATAAAGTACCTTCCTGTTTAAGACAGTCGTTAAAACTCCAGTAGTAACCACAGTGTCTGAAAGTTACATTAGGGTCTGTGAAAACCTTTGTTAATACATATTCTAAAAATATTTCTACATTATTTAAAGGTTTATAAAGAAGATCTACCTCAGCTTAAAGAACAGTACAAAGAGAAACAAAAAAGTGGTACTTCTAAAAGAAGAGAGCGGGCTCCAGGAAGTAGTATTCGATTACACTTTGTTCATGGGTATAAAACAACTGCTTTTCATTTATGTTTGAATTTTGGCTTACCTTTATGAGTTGTTTAACTTTGAACAAGTCCAGTAACCTCTCACTCCTGTTTCCCCATCTGTAAATGGAAATAACAGTACCTACTTCATAGTGTTCTGATGGGGAGTAAATAAGTAAATAGTTGTGGAGACTTAGAATGTTTTCTGGTACATAATAAGCACTATGTAAGTGTTTATTAAATAAAAAATTATCTTATGAAAGTTTTATATTTATAGAAATGGATCTCTTGTCTTTAAACAAATGAATAGTAAAATATATAAGAGATTATCATCACCCCTATATATGTCTAATTTGGAATGATATTGTGGATTCATTTGGCCTGCGCATTTTAGCCTTCATATTTTAATTTCAATATAATACAGTTTCTGGATTGTCTTAGAACATTTGGCACAGGTCTCACATGTCATCCTGGAACTACCGATTCTCTAGTCCAACTCTTTTTTTCTCCTTACCCAGTAATCATTTTCTTACCTGACTGATAGTGCTTTCAAGAATTTCAAAAAGGATTTATTCAGCAAAAGTATCTTTTCTCCTATGTTAATAGGCAGTATTGCCATGCAGTTCTTTTTATGAATCGGTTTTCTTTGAAGTGCAAAGAAAGGTTGCTATAAATGAAATTCTAGTAACCGTTTTAAGAAGATTTGGCTACTTTTTTCTGGATGATTATAATATTTTAAAATTGTTGTTTAAAGTAATTTTTGGAGTATATATTATATTCTTATAGTTCAGCAATGTGTACAGAAGGATCCACTTCAAAACTCTTCTTCCCACCTCTGCCCTCCAGCCATCATTCCCCTGCACCAAGGAGAATCACTGTTACTTAGTTCTAGAAATATTTATGCCTGTACAGACAAATACAAATATATATTCTTTTCTATACCCTTTCATTTATAAAAAGTACCTATTTTTGTTTTATATTATACAAACATAGTACTGTACTTATATGCAAATAGTAGTGTACTATATAGTACATTTATCTGCACCTTGATTTTTTTTAAATTCTCACCCAAGGATATTTTTTCCATTGATTTTTAGAAAGAGTAGAAGAGAGGGAGGGAGAGAGAAAAAAAAAATCCACGTGAGAGAGAGACATTGATTCGTTGCCTCTGCACAAGCCCCGACAGTCTAACCACTGATCCAAACCTGCCAGGGCTGTACCTTGATTTTTTTCCATTCAGTATTATAACTTGGATTTAGCTATTTATAATTAGAGAAATTCATAAAAGTTTATGTGATCTGATATTTTGTGTTTTAATGACTTAGTGTCTTGTAAAATTAGAAATTGGATGACCCAAAAGGTACCTACTTCTCCATAGAGTCCATATGTATCAGATAAAAGGCCAAAGTTCATATTATATGACGTTTTCTATATTTAGTTACAGAGGTTATGACTGTCGAAGTAATCTGTTTTATACTCAAATTGGTGAAATTGTGTACCATGTGGCAGCAGTGGGTGTCATTTATAATCGACAGCAGAACACACAACGCTTTTACCTGGGTCATGATGATGATATTCTCTGCCTGGCTATTCATCCTTTGAAAGACTATGTGGCAACAGGCCAGGTAGGTCCTTTGAAAAACTGTTATAACAGGCTAGATAGGTTAGACCTTTGTTGGCTTTAAAGTTGGATAAATCCATTTTTTAAAACAATGTCTTTTATATTCTAGGAAGTGAAGAGTTAAGGAATTCTTTAGAATGGGTTTTTATTTTCATATTACAAATAAAATGTACCCCAAATTTTTCCTATAATTTCCTTCTCTTTTTATTCAAGACCTGCACTTTCTGAAGGCCCTGTTCCAGTATCATCTCTTTCATGATTTCCTTTCCAACATTTTCATCCTTATTAAGCATATATTACTAGACGTTCTTATTTAACTGAAAATATCTTGTTTTCCCAATGAGTGTGCAAAATTTACCTTAATGTTTTAGTGCTGATTATATCTCACATAGGAACACTGCCAATAATAGGTGCTCGGTAAGGATTATCTTTATTTATGAAGTATAATATAAGACTTAGGAGTCACATAGTTCTAGGATATTGCTAGAAACATTGAGCGTAGCCTCATTAGCTTTTCAACAAATGTAAGAAAAACAGTCACATATACAGTCTAATTTATGTTTTTTATTTGATAAATGTCAATAGCATATATGAAAAAGGCTATAAAATCTGTTTTATTTCCTTTTAAAAGATATGAAAATAAATTATTTAATTGTATAAAATGACTTTTATAATTCTATTTTAGGTGGGTAGGGATCCCTCAATTCACATATGGGATACAGAGACCATTAAACCATTGTCTATATTAAAGGGCTACCACCAATATGGTGTCTGTGCTGTTGATTTCTCAGGTAAGGCTGTTTTCTATCTCAGTAAGAATGATCAAAGTGCAGAGGCAATACATAGCATTTTAGTCTAAATCAGTGTTGCCTAGACTTGTCAAATGTGCATATATTTTCTTAACCAATCAGGACGATGTAAGTGTGGGTTGTCTGGCTGTTTTATAATACAATTCAGTGAGTTATTTTTGATACCCATTTACATAAATATGTTTCCATTAAAATAAAAATGTCTACATAACATCTAAAATCATCTCAATCACTACTTATAGTATATAGCTTCCACTTTTGGCAAACATTTCAGTGTCTTATTGCCACAGAGTAAACTTTGAAAATGTTTAGGGTGAAACTAAGAAAGAAAGAGGTGAAACCTGAATTATTTATTTTATAACAGTTCTATGAAGTGATAAACTCCAAGCTGTCTTATCTAAATAATTTCAGATCATGTTAGCTCTTTGTTGTACATGTAAAAGTTTAACAATTACAGATCAAAATACAAAAACAGATCTACAGTGAAAGCTAGGGCACAGGTCAGGAAGTGGGGATACCATTAATAGAGAATTTTATATTAAGAAACAGTAAATTTGTGCTTTCTGCTGCTCTGACTGAAGTGATACTGAATTATTCATAGTAGAGACTTTTGGGGGAAATGTACAAACACATTCAGGGATCTTCTAAACGTCAAGAAACAAGAGAATGAATGGCAGACTAGGGGAGTTAACAAGAAAAATACCACTGGTAGTAATAATGAACTGATTGGGGTTTTCAAAAAGCATGGCAGAGCCCTGGCCAGTGTGGCTCATTTGGTTGGGTATAGTCCTGTGCACCTAAAGGTTGCCAGTTGGATTCCCAGTCAGGGCACATGCCTGGGTTGTGGGCTCAATCCCCAGTAGGAGGCATGCAGGAGACAGCCCATTGATGTTTCTCTCTCTCTCCCTCTCCCTTCCTCGCTCTCTAAAATTCAATAAAAATATATTTTTTAAAAGCATGGCAGAGTGGCAAACATTTTATTGTAGTTTGAGCCTTTACAACTCATAAACACATGCACACCTGTCAGCATGACTAACGTACCTCAGTTGTTTGTCTAACACGTTCATTAATTGTTGCTTGATGATAGTAACAAAACAATTGGCCTTTACTAAAAATGGTCGTATTAATGGCAAAATGTGGTTGTAACCTACATCTTTTCATTTGATTAATCTTCATCATCACTATGGTTTTTATATTACAATAGAGTTCTTATGGTGAAGTTAATTGAAGTAAATGTTTCCCTCCTTTCTTCTTAGTTTTTCCTTCTCTTTCTTTAAATCTCGTTTTCCACTTTTCTGATCTTCCTCCTTTCCCCAGTCACAGCCTGGTGGATAAGATATTGAGAAACAGTTCTCCTTCCCTTATAAATTCTGGTTCTTTTTATAGCTATATGTATACCTAGCATTTAATATTATTTTATACAGTTTAAATATGATGCTGTGGTTTTGTATGTACTGAATGGTGTTTATCTTCTGAATGTTAATGGTCAGTATGTCTCTCTGATTAATTTTCATAGCTGATGGGAAACGTTTGGCTTCAGTTGGAATAGATGACAGCCACACTATTGTGCTGTGGGACTGGAAGAAGGGAGAGAAACTTTCAGTAGCAAGGTAGGGAAAAAAGTTGATAACACATTGCAAAATATTGAAATTACTTTGGACTTAAAATTTTAAAAAATTGAAACAGTTTTGAAATCAAGCAAACATGTAAGCTTTTTCTATCATTGCCATCTTTTTCACCATCGAATAAGTAATGTAATCATGGTAAAAAGACCAATGATTTTGGGATTCACTTGTAGATTTAACCCTTGAGAACCCACTTTTTAATGTAACTGTAATATGACATTGGAAATAGCTACTATCTAAAATTTTCATTTATAGGCAGAGTGAATTCTACTGTATGATAAGCTATTATATAGCTATTGGAAGCATGATAAAATGCTCTTATTATATATTTGAGTGAATGAAGATATTTACATATACACATATCACAAAGAAGCTATAGATTTTTAAGTTTTTTCTGTTATACTCTTCATATTCTAAATTTTCTACAGTGAGCATGTGTTATTTTAATAATAAAAAATATTAACAATTTCTTTGAAGTAGGAAAGACTATCTTTTTTAAACTTCCTATTCCTCAAAGTGAGACATTAAAGCATTTAAAAATACTTTTTTCAAAGTACATAGACAATGCCCAAATAAAAGAGTTTAAGAGGAACTTTGTATTTGGAAACGCTGTATTAAACTCTAGCAATATATTTTTTAAAAATTATCTTTAACTCATTCATGCCACAAATAGCATTTCCTATATGTAGTACTATAGTAGGTATCATGCAAAATAAGTTCCATTTTTAACTGTTCCTATCTTTTAAGATTCTGTTGAGAAGAGTTAATAGTAAATTAAAATAATGGTAAAATAACAAATGTACAAATGCATGATAACACACCCCAAACCTGAGAGACATGTGGCCAACCATTCAATAATAGGGCAATCAAGATGGGGTATGGATTGGGCGGAAGATTATTACAGGAGAGATTTAGCTTAAGAATTAAAACATTTTGGTATTTATTTCAGAGGAAGTAAAGATAAGATTTTTGTTGTAAAGATGAACCCCTATGTGCCTGATAAATTAATTACAGCTGGGATGAAACACATGAAATTTTGGCGTAGAGCAGGTAAGGAAGTGCTGCTTTTTATTTCTTTGAAATTTAAGAAGTTACTGCTTTTCAAAGTGATTTAGCTAAGTGCAGTGTGATATTGTAGACAGGATCCTGGAACAGAAAAGAGACCTTAGAAAAACAGGTGAAATATGAAGGAAGTCTGGAGTTCATTAATAGTAATATAGCATACGTGTTGTTTTCTTAGTTTTGATATATAATCTGTTCGAATGTAAAGGTTAACATTAGGGGAAACTAGTAAGGGGTACTGTGTATGAGATCACTGTGTTATCATTGCATCTTTTATGAAAACCTAAAACTATTGAAAATAAAAAGTTAATTTTTTAAAAAGTGATTCACAGTTGCCTTGGTACATTTTAAACAAATACAAGATTTATTTTATCATCATTTATTGGCTGCAGTGATGTAGTAGTCATATTTGCAAAAGGATTTAACTTATGAAATTAACCAAGTGATGTCCAGACTCCCTTTTTTCTGTTAAAGACATTTTCTAAAAATTCTTTATATGCTATAAAATGATATAGAAATGGAATGTTTTATTACTTTAGTTATTTATAACTGGAAATTAATAACTGTGGTAGAAGTTCATATTTTAAAATGAAAATGTCTGTGTTCCACATAGATTAGTATACTTATAAATTCCAGCAATTTGACATCAAAGTCTCAGTACTCTTAAACCTTTCAGATGAAATATGTAAAGATAGGAAGAAGTGAAACATATATTAGAAAAGAATAGGCTTTCTGAAGACATTTCCCAAGTTCAAGTAACTTTCAAATTGTAAACCACATAGCACACAAGTCAGTTTTCAGCCTTGGATTTAATACTTTATCACAAACTCCTCTGATCATAGTGTATACACATTTACAAAGTAAAAAGTAGTATTTTCACATTTGTAATTTTCATTCCTGTACATTTAAACAAAACTTTAATTTGAGTACCTTAGTCAGTTGGAATTGCAATTACCAAGCAAGTAATGCTTATTATTTCTGTCTTGAGAAAAAAAAACTAACTTTTTTTTGAAATAAGAGACTTAAGGTAAGTAAATAGCCTTAAAATGAAAAGATTTACAATTGAAAAACTTTTTTCCTTAAGTTTGAGAAGACATAGTAGACCTGAAACTGACCCATAAAAGGATAAATGATGGTAAGGCTTTGCTGTGCATTTCAACTTTCCTCCTTTGGAGATTCTGATCCACAGACTTTACTAGCCAAGTGAGAAATAATCACTTTATTAATCTAATTTTTCTTCTTATCCACATACTAAAACAGCTTCAAACAGTTGTTTACCTTTTCAGTTGGAAAAGGTTCTCCTTTCTCTTTGGAGAAGTCAGTCTGGTTTTGTTCTCCTTCATCATTCCACTGATTGCCCTTCCAGGTTCACTGACAACTCTGGCTGCCATGTTAAGAAAAGACAATCTTCTGAATACATTTGGAATATCACCACTTTTCATCACCTTCATGCTACCACTCTGGTCTCTGCTGCCTTTATCGTTTGCTCACATGATTGAAAATCACCTTCTCTCTTCATCCTTGCCACTCTTCAGTTTATTCTCAATCCAGAAATCAGAATGAACCTGTTAATAAATGACATGCTAGATCCTGTCATTCCACACCCCAGTGTTTTTCATCTCAGGTAGAGTAAAAGTTGAGTCCTTACAATGGCCTGTAATGCTGCCTTGGACTTCTCTGACCCCATCTGCCATTACGGCCTTCCTTACTGTCTTTGCTACTCTATGCTGGCCTCCCTAGTTGTTCCATGAAGATTCTTATCACATCCTGTGTTGGGGCCTTTGCACTTACTGTTCCCTCAGCCTCTAGCACTCTTCTTGAATGACTTGCTCTTGCAACCTCCTTCAGGTCTTCATTCAGATACCACCTCATGGTGAGGCCTTTCTTGACCACCTTACTTAAAATGGACCCCTCCCATTCCCTAGCACCCATCAGCATCTGACATATGTACATTGTACTTCTTTCATATTCATGGACTGTCTCTCACTAGGAAGTTCCATGAAAGAAGGGAAATTTGTTACCTGTTTTGTTCATAGCTCTGCCCCTCACACTTTGAATAGTGCCTGGCATATAGAGTTCATGAATAAATAATGAGTTCAACTAGGAAAACAGGAAAAAGATATCAGTGGGCAATGAATGGTCAATAAGATAGGAAAAGATAAATCTCATTAATCAGAGAAATGCAAAATAAAATCACAATAAAATTCAGTTGGTATTTCAAACCCCTCAGTCTGACAATACCAAGTGTTCCTGAAAGGTGGAAAGGAACTCCTTTCATTATTAACGGGGGGAGTGTAAATTGATGTGTCAGCTTTGGAGAACAACTTGGCAACACATAATACCTCTCATCTATACAATGTTCCTTTTGCATATGCCCAAAGCCATTCCTAGGCACTCGTAGAGAATCTCTTACACTTGTATAGAAGAGGCATTGTTTTCAATAGCAAAAGCAACTTAAGTGCCTCTTAATAGAAAAATGGACACAGACTGTGTTATATTGATGTAATGGAATGGTATATAATTATGAAAATGAGTTTTCTAGAGGTGCAAATCAACACATATAAAACTCCACAAATCATTAGTGGAGAAAAGCAGGTTGCAAAAGAATACATACAAAATGGTATTTACAGAAAATTTTAAAACAGGAAAAATAGCCCGGCCGGGCGTGGCTCAGCAGTTGAGCGTCGACCTAGGATCCAGGCGATTGGGGTTCGATTCCCGGCCTGGGTTGCAGGCTCAATCCCCAGTCGGGGGCGTGCGGGAGGCAGCCGATCAATGACTCTCTCATCATTGATGTTTCTCTCTCTCTCCCTCTCCTTTCCTCTCTCTGAAATCAATAAAGATATATTTAAAAAAAAACAAAACAAAAAACCCCAGGAAAAATAATATGACATATTGCCTAAGGATTCATAAGTAGCAAGGAAAATACGTATCAAGGAATGCATGAGAATAGTCCACAGCTTCAGAATAGCAGGGATGAAGATGGGAGATGGGACTGGCATCACATATCGGTGGTTTGATATGTAGGTGTACTTTGTATTTTTTTTAATACCTTTTTGTATTCTTAAATGTGTCATAATAAAAATTTTGAAAAACTAAAGTGCTTAGGACTGCTTAAAACTGTTTTTAAAAGTATATGCTTTTGTTTATTCAAAAGGCTATGGCCTGCCCTGACCAGGTGGCTCAGTTGGTTGGACCGTCATCCTATACACCAAAGGTTATGGGTTCAGTTTCCAGTCGGGGCACATACCTAGGTTGTGGGTTTGATCCCTGGTTAAGGCATGCACAGGAGGCAACTGATCAATGTTTTCATCACATCAATATTTCTCTCTCTAAAAATCAATAAACATATCCTCAGGTGAGGATTTAAAAAAAAAGGCTATGGCCTGAAAGCAGCCCTAAGCGTGTCTGCCTCAACCAGGCAAGGAGTTGCCCAAGTCACTCACTGAGAAACCGTATTTTTCTTTTTAACTCTTTTTACTGTTACATGTCTTTCTATTTAAACAAAAGCAGTAGAAAAGAAACACTACTGCTTTATAATTTTATATGTTTTGAAAGTAGTACCTTCATAATATTTTTTATGAACCAGGGGGAGGATTGATTGGAAGAAAAGGCTACATAGGCACACTGGGGAAAAATGAAACCATGATGTGTGCGGTGTATGGATGGACTGAAGAGATGGCTTTTTCTGGAACGTCCACAGGAGATGTGTGTATCTGGAGAGACATCTTCCTTGTAAAAACAGTTAAAGCACATGATGGGCCAGTGTTCAGTATGCATGCCTTGGAAAAAGTAAGTAACCTAAAGACATTTTAAGTTAAATAGAATTTGATCATGCAGAGTAGAGCATTTTCACAAGTAAATGAACATTGGCATTCAGCTTAGCTGAGCCACTCAGTAATAATCTGTGAGCTAGTCTTCCTGACATTCTTTTGTTCCTCTTTCAAATGCCTGAACCCATAGGTATGCTGTTTAAAAAAGAAGTTTAACTTAATGTGTATTAATCCCTTACTATGTGTCAAAAATTGTTTAAGTGTGTTATATATTGTCACCATGTCCTGTGAGGTGCTACTGGTATTATCCTTTCTTTTAAAAGGGTGGGATTACAAAGCCTCCACGAGAATATGTGTAACTTGCTGAAAGTAGTAGAGCTACCTTATGGTTCCAAGTTACAAACTGTACTTTTAAAGTCCTATCCTAAAAATAGCATGTTTAGTATCACTGTAAATACTTTTGCAGATTCCATATTGATGTTTAAAAATATGCAGTGGATTCTTATATTAATTTCTGTTAATTACAAGTAGTAACTTTTGCCTATAAATGTTCTTTTCTCTAGAATTTTTCAATACAAAGAAGCCTGTTATTTTGAAATAGTTAGATTTTTATTAACTTGAAACTTCTACTTTTATAGGGATTTGTTACTGGAGGAAAAGATGGTATAGTAGCTCTTTGGGATGACTCCTTTGAAAGATGTCTCAAAACTTATGCTATAAAAAGAGCTGCTTTGGCCCCAGGATCTAAAGGTGATTCGAGATTTAATTTACTTTGTAGGAAAAAAGATTAATGGCTCATTAACACACATGGCCACTGAGGTGGAGCACATGGAATATTTTTTTTTCTCTTCGCTAGACAGGCATCCGAGTTAAATGGGAGAACCACTTAACTGAATGCCAGAATCACTGCTGTCCTTTCAAATCTATTTTCTGTGATACACATGGTAAAATATTAACCAAGAACAAGATTATTAATGTTAATTTTTAACATTTTTAATTGTCCAAAGAAAATTGCCACTTGAACATCACATTTACCACCAATCAGGAGTTTGTTTTCAAACTCGGTGTTTTGTTTCACAATGAAATCTCCTGCTGTCCTGTTCAGTCCTGCCTGGGATATGAATTTTCCCTTTGTCCAGTGTAGCCCTGCTGTATGCGTTCCCCATCCTTTAGTCACTTAGCTGCCTCACTTACCAGATCAACCGTTGTGTTATCACAGTTTTTGTATTCAAGGAACCCTTCTTTTGCATAATAATGGCCCCAAAGCACTAGAGTAGTGATGCTGGCAGTTCAGGTATGCTAAAGAGAAGCCGTAAAGTGCTTCCTTTAAGTGAAAAGGCAAAAATTACTAACTAATAAGGCATTTTAAGAAAAGTGAGTACAGTACAACAGGTATTTTGAGAGAGAGAGACCACATTTGCATAACTTTTATTACAGTATATTATAATTGTTCTTTTATTATTAGCTATTGTTGCTATTCTCTTACTGTGACTAATTTATAAATTAAACTTCATCATAAGTATGTATAGGAAAAAAACATAGTACATATAGGGTTCAGTACTATCCGCAATTTCAGACATGCACTGGGGTCTTGGAACATATCCCCTATGGGAGGGACGCCAGGGCTACTGTACTGTTACCTAGAATTTGCCCTTTCCCTTCTTGTCCCTTCCAGTTACCTGACCATTATTCATTTTTCAAATCTCAAACATTGTTTCTTCTAGAATAATACCTTTCCCTCCCATTCTCCTTCCAATAAAAGGTTTAATTCACTTATTGTACACCCCTTTCTCAGTGTGCTCCTCATACAGGCAGGGTCTGTTTTTCTCATCATATGCTCTGTGAGGGCAGGAGCTGGCTCTATCATGTTCACCAATATGTTTCTGAAGCCTGCCTAGGACACAGTAGACACAAGTGAATTAATCTTAAATTCGAGTTGAATTAAAATTACTAACCAGAATATTGTTCATTCTCTTACAGGGTCAGGAGGTGGATAGGGGGGTACAGATATGAAAGGAAAAGAAACAGTTATCAGGATGGTAGGAGGGGATCTGGGATTATATAGACTCTTACAGTTGTAGTGTATCAGTGATATGTTTGAGATTAGTAAATTGGGGAAAATGCAGTGCATTTATTAGAATACTTAAAATATAGGAAAAAGCAACCTTATAATGTGATTTTCATTGTCAAAATAGCATCATTGGCAATATATATCCTTGTATTATTGTAACTTTGTACCTAGAAGAACATCTCCATTTAACATTTCAGGTCTTCTCTTGGAAGATAACCCCTCTGTACGTGCCATTTCATTAGGACATGGTCATATTTTAGTTGGCACAAAGAATGGTGAAATACTAGAAGTGGATAAAAGTGGCCCAATAACACTTCTGGTCCAGGTAATTGCAAATGTTAATGTGCTTCTTTTTCCTTTGTATACAATTGATTCAATACATAAGAGCCAAAGTTGATAGTGGTAAAAATGATGTACTTTCCTTTAGAAACTTGAGTGTTTGGTGTGGAGGAGGGAGCAGTAGTTTCAAGTCTTATTGGGTTGACACTGAGGCCCCAGTATTCTCCGGCACTGCAGCCAGGGTAGGGCTACATTTCAGAATGAGGGTAGGCACAGGAAGGGAGATCCCACTTCTCAGCAGCACTCGCCAAGACTTTAGTATCAGTAGCAGGTATCAGGGGCAGGATGAGAAATGCTAACCTCTACCCCTTCTGGGAAGATAGCCCTCTAACTAAACTGAGGGGTTGGAGGGGGAGTGTTCTTGGTTTCATCAGTCCGTTGTGGAGTTTCCACATCAATGAGTTAAGAGGGAGAAGAGGAGTGGGTCTCAGTTCAAATACTGAAGACTCTCGCTGTTCTTAATGAATTTAGATTTTCTTGAGTAAATATTTCTTTAGTTGTTGTTTCTCCTTGGAACCATTTCCAGAGATTTTAAATCTTGGTTTTTAAAAATTATTTTCACCACATTTACTGGTCAGGAGGTCTGTGGAACTCCTTGCTGTGTCATGCAGGATGTTCCCCTTACGTGGCATTTATTAACGTTCCAGGGCAGCCAGTTTCTAGTCTCTCCACCCAGTGACTATTTTAGGATTTTAAGTTAATTTTAATAGTAGCTTGATTATATTGTAATTGTGGAGATAAAGTTGTTACAAAGGTATTTTATGGTGTATTCCAAAGATTAAAAGTTTTAGGAGACTTATTATTCATTATTTTATCATATATTATCAAAAGTTTTATCTAGTTTTCTTCTAAATACACATAGCTTTAGGTTAAATTGATCTTAACTATGTTTTCTTTATAGGGACACATGGAAGGAGAAGTGTGGGGTTTGGCTACACATCCTTATCTGCCCATCTGTGCTACTGTAAGCGATGATAAAACCTTAAGAATATGGGATCTCTCTCCTAGCCATTGCATGTTGGCTGTCCGGAAACTGAAAAAGGGTAAGAGGCTCTCAGACTTGAACATAGATTAAGTTGTCACCATTTTATAACCCTCACAAATATAAGAAAGCAATGGTCAGAATATAAAAAGACTAAATATTTATTCTATATCCACTTGCTCATGATGCTGTATAAACAAAATTAATTATACCCAGACTTTACTTTATGGGACCTCCTCTGACCATCCCTATTTTGAGCCAGTTTTCAGCTGGCTCATGTTGGAAGAAAGAATATAGGAAGGAAACAGAGGCTAAGTTTTCTACCCTTTATGACTATGGATTATGTGTAAGTCAGAATTAAAAACTAAGAAAGAAGACCTTAACTTAAAAAGGGGTAGCAGAGTTGATGGAAAGATATTTTAGGATGAAATAGAACTGAGCACATTTGTAGGAGGCAAATGAGGCAAGCCTATCTGAGTAGAGAGGCAGAGGGTGCAGTTGTTGGAGTAAGGCTGTTTCTGTCATCCTAGGGCAGGTGAGAATATACAAATAGCTTCAGATTTCTTAGTGAAGTGGTAGGGATTGTTATTTTGTAGCATAAGGATATTGTAGGAGGAGCTTTGGTTGAAAAAGTTGGGAATTGTGACTGTCAGAAATGTGATAGGATCAGCAGATGGACAGGATTGTCTAGCTGTACTGAGAGCTGAGCTGAAGTTATGTAACATGAGTTTGTAGTTCAATCATTTAATTTTACTTCCTCCGACTAACTTAAAAGTTAGAGTCTATCCTCTTTTTCTAGGGTTACTGTTAAATATTTAACATGTATACTTATCTAAAAATCTGAAGCTAATCAGAATTTTTAGATCACTTGAACGCCTGTCACTGTGCTTCCCCCCCTTTTTTTGTAAAGCTATTGATGTCTAGCCTTTTCATTCTCTGGTGTTTTGTTTGTTGGTGAAAATTAGAATCACCAAATATTTCAGTGGTTCTGTAATTGAACTGTCAGTGTAAAAGGTTAAAAAGGATTCCAAAACCACAGTCACACCTCTCTGTACACAGAAAACCACATTACCAAATATTATTTTCTTCACAGGGCCGTAGGAAGTCCTGACCCATCAAATTTGTAACATACTTGGTTTTCATACCCATCACATTTTCTTTTTCTTTTTTTAAGTGAAGTATAATTGACATATAGCATTATATTAGTTTCGGGTTTACAATGATTTGATATTTGTATATAATGTAAAATGATCACCACAATAAATGTAGTTAGCATCCATCACCATACAGAGTTACAAAAAAATTTTTTATTGTGCTGAGAAGTTGTAAGGTCTGCTCTCTCAGCAGTTTTAAAATATGGAATACAATATTCTTAACTATAATCACCATGCTGTGCGTTATACTCCCATGGCTTATTTCATAACTGGAAGTTTGTACATTTTGACTTCCTTCACCTGTTTTGCCCACCCCCGAAAGCCCTCATTCAGACAGCTATCAGTCTGTTCCCTGTATCTGTGAGCTTTGGGTTTTTTGTTTGTGTTTGTTTTAGATTACACATGTAAGGGAGATCATGTATTCGGCTTTCTCTGTCTCACTTACTTTAGTTAGCACAGTGCCCTCAAGGTTCGTCTGCGTTGTTGTAAATGGCAAGATTTCACACTTTTTTATGGCTATTTAAATAATACCTGTGTGTGTGTGTGTGTGTGTGTGTGTGAGAGAGAGAGAGAGAGAGAGAGAGAGAGACAGAGAGAGAGACAGAGAGAGAGAGAGAGAGATTTTCTTCGTCCAGTCATCCATCAGTGGGCCCTTAGGTTGTTTTCATGTCTTGGCTATTGCAAATAATGCTGCAGTGAATTGGAGAGTACATATATCTTTTTGAGTTAGTGTTTCACTTTCTTCAAGTAAGTACTCAGAAGTGGAATTGCTGGATCATATGGTAGTTTTATTTTTTATTTTTGAGGATCTCTGGGGTTTTTTAATCCTCTTCGGTTGGACATTATTGTCTTACGGAGTCAGAATTTACTTATGTTATCTATGCTTATACTTTTCTTTGTTCACCTTTTCTTCTTATATGTCAGACTTTTTTCTTGTATCATTTTATTTCTTCCTAAAATACAGTCTTAGCGTTTCTTTAATTAAGATTTGTTGGAAATTCCCTCAGCTTCCTTTGTCCAAATCAGTGGCATACCAAGATCAGACGGGTGGGAGTGGTCTATTCCGGCAGCTGAAGTATTTTGCCACTGACATCACAATTCTTAAAAAGCAAACTGTTTTTATTCGGTTTTATTATTGTTGTTTTAAATTTTCAGTAGGCAGTATATTGTTACTCAGGGTGAAGTATTGCCACTGCCCTGCCCTTAGTATGCTGCTAGTCTGAACATGCTTTGAATTTTGACTTTCATTCTTAAATGCTAATTTAACTGCTTCTGGAGTTCTTAGTTGAGAGTTATTATTCCTCTGGTTTCCACTGTCCTCTTTTATTTTGTCCTACAGTTCTGTAGCTTAATAAAATCATGCATGTATGTGTTTTATTTTAATATATTCTGTTTAGGATTTGGTGTGCTTCCTAAATCTGTGGATTTATTATGTCTTAGATAAGTCCTGAAAAATTGTCTGCCTGAATTACTGGCTCTTTCTAGGACTAGATATTTATATTAGATTTCAGAGAAGAGTCATTATTCTGTATTTTTGTTTTTGAATATTATTCTATAATCACTTTTTAAAAATTCCTGTCACCATTGATTCAAGAGGAAATCAGGTGGATTTTTATAACTGCAAAGGGATATGTATGGTTTTATACTGGTTGAATTAATTATAACCATCACTGAAGTTATAATGGTTTAAATATGATAAAACACAGTTAATCTCTTTCAAACATTCAGTAAGCAAATACAATTTTCTTCAAGAAATGAATATGTAAGAGGTTATAGTCTTGAGGCTTAACATTCTATTAAATAAGTCATTATAGTTAATGTGGACTATCTTATGAGAGTTTTGCCAAGCAAATCAATTTTATAGTAACTAGTTACAGAATAACCAGAAGTATGAATATTCAGCATGAATAATGTCCGTATTCTTGATTTCTGTAAATACTTTCTAAATATTTGCCAGCCTTTTACACTTATATGTATAATGATGTATTGGAAAGTTCCTGTTAAAACTTTGTATCCCTTGGCTTCAGCTGTTAATTATAATTAAACCTGAATTTTTAATAGACTTTTTATTTTTTTAATTCTACACTATTATTTTATGTCTTGGATCCTTTTATATTTTCTTTTTGTCTCTGTGTAGCATTCTAGAAAATTTCTTAAGGTCTTTATTCCAGGTCTTAAATTTTTTTTTATAGCAGTTGTTTTATACCTGCTGTTGGACCTACCCATTAGGTATTTAATTTTTATAATTCTCATTTTTTGGGCTTCTTTGTGTTTTCATATTTGCCTTAGACTTTTTATAACATGCTATTCCTTGCTTACTTTTTATATTTCCTCCTTTATGTCTTTAATCTTAACTAATCAGGTAAAAATATAAAATCCAGTAATTCTACAGACTAGCAAATCTGACCATGCTATGTATTCCTTTTTTCTGTTTTGAGGCTATTTTCCTGCTGACTCCCCTCTGGTGGTCCATTTTCTTGTGTGCTTGAAATTTTGGATTGTAAATTCATGTTTGGTTGGGCTTTCTTTACCTGTGGGAATCCTCTGAGGTCTGAATCGAAGGTGTGTTCTTCCAGAGAAATTTTGTATTTTCTTCTGCCAGGTGCCTGGAGTGCTACCATCCAGAACTACTAACAATTCATTTCTTTAACTGGGATTGTTTAGATCATGTAAATAGTATAACTTCAAATCTAAGATCTGCATAAGCCCCACCTTTGTGAATTCTCAAATATGCTTTTCAACTCTAGAACCCAGGCCAAGATAGACAAGTCTAATTCCTGATGTCTTTCTTTACTGCCAGGCATATTTTTTTTAAAAGTCTATTCTTCCCTTAAGATATGATTGTATTTCTGGAGCAAAATGACAATGCAGGTATTTGGAGAGTATTTTTTGACAAAAAATTACATGTAATTAAATAATTGTATTTTCTTTCTTTTTTTTTTTTTTTAATATATCTTTATTGATTTCAGAGAGAGGAAAGGAGAGGGGGAGAGAGAGAGAGAGAGATAGAAACATCAGTGATGAGAGAGCCATTGATCGAGCCCACAACCTGGGCACGTGCCCTGACCGGGAATAGAACCCCAATCGCCTGGATCCTAGGTGGACGCTCAACCGCTGAGCCACGCCCAGCCGGGCTGTATTTTATTTCTTAAGGTATTTACAAATCGAAAGAAAAGTAGTGAAAATAAAAATCAGTGAAACTAAATAGTATATTTAAATACAAAATTTGTAAACATAAGTAATCAAGTTAAAAGATTCAATTATAAAAATATAATTATACATTATTTTAACTATTACTAAATTCAAAAACAAATACTACATAAGAAAGTTTCAGCATGAAACATTGAAAATGAAATAATCTTTTTAAAGCAGTCTTAAAAAACCAAGCTTATTAATGACATTACTGCATTGCAAAAGTAATTAAATATGTGCAAAATTTTCCAGTTATTCCAAAGCCCTTGCTGACTATACTATACACTAGTCTGAATGAGGTGAAAAGACAAATATGATCCAGTTTTAAATTTCCTCTTTCCTCTTCATATAATACTATCTCTTGTTTGATAGCTTTGAGGACATCTTTTTTAATAACTTTTTTTTTGGTAGGAACTATATAGTCCTTTTATTGATAACAAGCTATGTTTATTTCAAAGAAAGCATTTCCAGTCCTCTTTGTCTTTAGATTTGTGATTTATAGATGGAAGTTCTACTTCATTATTATTATGTCTAATATGGATTGAACTGTGTCCTCCCAAAAGTTATGTGGAAGTCCTATCCCCCCAGTACCTGTGAATGTGACCTTATTTAGAAATAGAGTCTTTGCACATATAACCAGTTAAGATTAGGTAATACTGGATTGGATTAGGATGGGCTCTAAATCCAGTGACTGGTGTCAGGACTATATGAAGAC